CCCCCCCCCATTACAAAAAACCCCCCAAAAAAAAAAAAAAAAAGAGAGAGAGAGAGAGAGAGAGAGAGCGAAATCTATGACCAAAGAATCCTGCCTTTCTCACTGATTTCCAGTAAAATTCTAGAAATTTATCTTCCCACAGGAAAAAAAAAATGTGGGTCCCATAGGCTTTTTCCCTTTCAAGGTCTGCGCCTCCAGTGACAGAAACAACCACCTGGCACACGCCTCTTGTGGAACACACAAGTGAAACTGCACTAGGCAACTGTCCTCATTCCCTGGCATCGCCTACTGTCTTCAGGCGGCATGCCCAGGCGGCCTCTGGAAGGTTCTGATCCCACGAAAGCAGCAGCAGCAGCCGGGCTGGTGGGCTGCAGGAGCTGCCTGAGGTCGTGATCAGCTGGCATGGCCGCGGTCCTCACATAGTCTTCCCTGCTGCAGCATTCTGCTCCCTCCAGAGCCTGCCTCTCTGAGGCTCCCCCACCTCCCTCTGTGCCCCAGCACCCCCTTCTGATGCCTCCACCACCCTTGGGCCCCAGCAAGCACTTGCTGTGAGCAAGCCTCGTCCCAGCTGGTGTCAGGTCCCTGCCCCTCCTCTGCTGCAGGAGCCATCTGGGCTTTAACAGGACACTCAAGGCTCAGGGCCTGAGAATTCCCAAGGAGCAGAATTGTAAGGAGGGTTCTGGTGACCCTGTGAGGGGGAAGGGCTGACTGCACACCCAGCTGCCCCTCCCGGCCACCTGGTAGGGGACGCTACAGCTCACCCTTGACTGAGTGCACTTGGACTTGTCCAGAAACGGCACAGAGCTGCACTCTACCACGAGCAAGACACAGCCGCCGGCCAGGCCAGGCTTTCGTGTTGGGACTTGACATTCATATATGGGTTAGTGAGACAGGAGGCCGTGCCCCAGAGCAGGCTAAAGCCAGAGGGGGGAGCACGGGAGACAGGAGAAGGACCCTGCGGGCAGAGAAGGCATGACCTTCTCTCTCTATTTCCATGCAATCAGTGAAAACCATGAAATCCCTCTGGCTAAGGGGCTGTGAGTCACCGTGTGCACCTATGTGTGCATCTAGGCCGTCTTTTTCTGCCTTCTTTGTTGGTGTGCTGCATTCGCCATTATCAGCGGCTGCTGGGGCCAGGGGCCAACCGAACCACAGGTAGTAAAGGCGGGCAGCCCTGTCCTGTGGGCTCTGAGAAGGAGGGCCGCTCCCCAACCCCGCTCACCGCTGCACGCACTCCTTCACCACCTCGTACTGGCCGATGGACGCGGCTGTGTGAAGGTCCAGGGGCACGTCCAGGTCCCGGCTGAGCTGTGTGCCCGGCCCGTGCCACATGGACAGGCTGCGGTTCAGGAGCTCCGGCTCGCTGGCTTCGTCACTGAGCTCGGACATCGCGGTGGCAGGCGGCCAGGGGACAGGCGTTCCTTCCCGGTTGTTCTGGGGAATGAAATGTGCTGGTCAGGCCGCTGCCCACGGATGGCTGTGTGACACTACCCTATCAGCTCTGCCCAATACAGTCAACCCAGGGCCAGCTTGGCCACACTCCCCTGGTTTCTGGACCGCTGAAGAGAGGGGCCATGAGCGCTGACTACAACGTACACACACACACACACACGCACGCTCCTTCTTTGAGCCACAGGCCCAGATCCAGCGACTCCAGGAGCCTGAGAGTCTCGTGGGTGGGCAGGAAAGTGCTAACTGGGTCCTGTGTCCGACCAGCCCCTGGGAGTGACGGGAGATAACCCTGGACCTAGGGATAGATTGAAATTTAGCTGCTTTTGTAGCATCTCCAACCACATTATCCATGAGACATGACATTTCAGAAGGCTATTTTTTTAAAGAATTATTTTATTTTATTTATTCATTTAAATTTGACTAGAAGGGGGCAGAGTATATGAGAGAGAGAAAGAGAAGGAAAGTGAGAAAGCAAGCCGCCAGGTCCAGGACTCAAACCTCGGGGAGCCATATGGAAGTCCAGCACCCTTAACCACCATGCCACCTGCCGGCCCCCTAGAAGGCTACTTTTAAAACGCATGAAGAATAGGCACCTCCACACAGCAGAATGCTACACAGCAACACACAAAAAGCCGACAGCAGATAAACGCAAGTGGACCAGGCCAGACTTACAAGGCTCCCCACAGTGTGGCCCCACTTACAGGACATTCTGGAAAAGACAAGCCTGAAGGTGGCAGGACCGGTCAGTGTACCACGGCTAGGCAGGACCCCAAAGGGAAAGCAAGAGGGTATCTGGGGTGATGGACCCATCCTATTTCTTGGCTGGGGTGACAGATACACGACCCCATGAGTTTATCAGACTTGGAGCCCTAGACACCAAACCGTGTGCATTTTACTATACGTTTATTTTAAATGTAAACTTTTTGGGGGAAAAAATGGCAAGAAAGCCCGTAGGAGACTAAGTAGGATGTGACCAGTGGCGCTCAGCAAACACTGACGGCCTATGAGAGGGGGAAGAGGACGGGCATACAGTGAGTGGGGTGACACCTTCTCGCACCAGCCTGAGTCTGTGATGAGAGTCCTTTATTCAGGGAACCCTACCCAAATCAAAGCCATCAGCTTCCTAGGAGAATTCTTGGGTGCAGGAGTGACAGAAAGCAAGTGCAGGAAAGGAAGTGTAGGAGAAGAAAACAAGGAGGCTTAAAGACACGCTAATGCACAGATGCAGCTATGCCGCGTCTGCCAGAGAACGCTTCTGACACCCAGGTGACAGCCGAGATGACGGAACGGGCAGGCCACCAGTCTGAAGGACATGGACGTTACAAGACCGTGGGGCTGTGAGTAACAAGTTCAGCACAACGCCCTCTTTTTACGGGCAGAGCCTGAGACTGTCCAGCCGCCACTTGGCTGGGGACACCCCCACCCTGAACTGTGCTGACCCTCTGAGCCCCGCGGGGGACAATCCAGATGCCCTGGAGCCAGCGCAGAGCTTCTTCCGAGGCATCCGTCAAGCCTGCTCTGGGTGTGTCTCCTCTACTCCACGGTTCCTCCAAGGTCAGAGCCAAGTTCACTCTCGGATCTGATACCCCAAAGCTGAGGGTCCACCAGAACCAGGTGGCCTCAGGGAGCCCGTGGAGGAAGAACTCGGATGCCAGGGGACTACCCGGTAATTGCGATGTCCTGTACCACCCTGTCACTTGGCGGCCGGTCCCAATGAGGGGGACTAGTTCTGAACGAATGGACGCGCTGCCACGCACATGCCCCAACTCGAAGGAAGTTTCTACCCAGCTGGCTTCCGCACGGTAGCGTCAGGAACCGCACCGGGGCCGGCCCTTTCATGCTCACTCTGCCTTTTAGTTCTGACCACTCTGTACCAAGCTGAGAGTCTGTCCCTTCCAGATAGAACACTGAACTAAACAAGCTCCTGGTGCTGGCCGCGACTGCCACGCCTACGGGGAGGGCGTCTGTCAGTCCCCAGGGCACCCGCTGCCGCCGGCGGGCTCAGGGCCACCGGCCATCTGCAGCGCGGACCGCGGAGCGCTGAGCTCGCTCGGGCCACGCCGTTCGTCGCCCTCCCTGGGACCCTGCTGCGCACGGGCGTCGCTGTGCCCACTCCGCCGCCAGAGGCGAAGGCTCAGGGCACCAACTCACGCGGCGAGCGCGCCGGGCCCAGGCGGGCAGCAGGTGCCGGTTCCCGGCGGGACCCGGTCTCTCAGAGCCTACCTGCGCTGGGCCTCGGGCCTCCGGCCGCAGGCCGCCCAGCTCCTCGCCGGGCCGCCGCCGCCACCACCGCCACAGTGCCCGGCTCTCGCCCCGGAAATAATTGCGGGAGGGCGCGGAGCACGCCGGGACGCTCGTGGGTCCACGCCGGGGCAGCTCCCCGAAGCCGTGGAATTCGCCTATCCAGCACCCGGTCCTTCCGGTCAGCTCGCCCAGCTCGCTGTGTGACGGCCGCGACAGCCAATGAGCAGGAGGGCTTCCCCTTGCCCCGCCCCTCCCTGGCCCCTATAACCAATCCTGTTGCAAGAGAGGCAGGCCGCGCCCCGTCCCGCCGGGGGAGCTGGGGGGGGGGAAGGGCTCCGCAGGGCCTGCCGGCCTCGGTAGTGGCGCTTCAGTCCAAGGAGCGATCGAGACCTGACGGGCTCGGCTGCGTAGTCCTGTCGGGACCGCGCAGGGAGGGAGGCAGACGGGCGGAGGTGAGTGGCCTCGAGTCTGCCGCTGCTGCAGAGCGCCAGGTCAGGGGGTGTCGGGCGGGGAAAACAGGGGTCGGGGTGCGTGGGAGGAAGGGCGACCCGCGGTGGAGTTTCCCGGCCTTAGAATATTTAGACACTACAGGGGAGGCCGTTGGCGTCTGGTTGCCATACCAACCTCTCGGCAGGCGGGGCAGGGGGCGGGCGGAAAGGCGTCACGGCCCGAAAGCTAAACGGCTGAAGCCCAGAAACTGACTTGCAGCCGAGGTCCGGACTCAGCAGAGGCCCGCGGCGACTAGTCTGGCCTGCTGCGAGAGCCCAGCTCCTACGCTGGCTGGCTCGTTTTCACCGAGGGGCCAGCCGCTGACACCTTCCTGCTCTCACTGGGACGCTTCTCACTCCTGTGCGCCGCTGTGCACGCTCGTGCCTCTGTCGAGAACGCCTTGCCTCCTCCATTGCCTTGTGCCCTGAAGAACTCGTCGGAGTCTCTAGCGGCCCCTTCACTTCGGTGATTCTGTTGGAATCCTAACCCTAACCCTGTGAAATACTGTGCCCGGAATTGCCAAGCACAGCCCCGGTACACCCCCGCGTGCGCCCCAGTTCCGTCCCATCGGGCTGCTCCTTGTTCAGGATGCACTGAACACCTTTCCTCATCCCAAGAGAACAGAAGCTGGAAGCCCACTTACGTCTTCGCAGCTGCAGAGCCCCGGCCCCGGGGCTGTGCCTTTCTGCAGGCCTCGACTCTAAAGTACCATCGCCTTATGTCCCTACAGCCCCCTGGCTCCAGAGGAATGGGACATTTCCTTTAAACTCTAGGATCCAAAGGGGTCGGGAGAAAAGGGAGTCTAGTCTGGGGTCTGGTATAAGGGGCTAGTTGGAATGGCAACTCCAAAAAAAAAAACACTCCAGAATCTCTTGTCTATTCCTTTGTAAGGGGCTGTAACGAGCGGCAGGACTTGAAACCCCCTGGCTTCAAATTCTGTCTTTGCCATTTACTGACTGCTCTGAGCCTAGGTATAGAGATGATAGTATCCAAACTGTATGGGAGTTATATAGTATGTATGTTTTACACAGGTCATTATATAGCCTATATATTATATAGCATATACATGTATAATCCGTGGGTCATATATATCTACATATTGTGCACGTGTGTGACTATCAATACATGTATGTTCAAGCACGCATAGCAGCCTACATGTGCTGTCCTGTGCCATAGGTGCACACTCACAGTACCTGGCACTCAGTAAGAAGAACTTGCAGAATGAACTAGAAGGAAACGGGTGGGAGGTAGAGTTCTGCAAGTCCATTTTCATCTCCCTGGGCTAGTAGGGGCTTTGACCAGGCAGCCCACGATCTCCTGGCCCAGGGCTTCCTGGACACTAACCTCACCCGTATGTTCTGCAGGGCACACTGAGGTGGCATCCATGAGCCTGGGCCCCCATGGCAGCCGAAGACAAAGACGTGAGCGCTCCCTGGGCCTCCCAGCCAGGGTGGGACGCCATCCTGGAGGCTGTCCGAGACCAGCTGCCATCTATCGACTCAGACTCCTCCTTGGTGAGAAGGCACTTCTGCTCTAGGCCGCGTGTCCCTTCCCATGGCAGGCAGGACACTGGCAGACGGCCTGGAGCAGCCTCCCTGCAGACCCTCTGACGGTGTGGTTGTGGCCTTTCACTCTGGGTCACTTGGTCATGCTTAAAGCCGGGTTTTCTGGGCTCCTACTCCTTCCTTCCCTTTCTCTGCATTTAATTCCACTCTGAGCACACGCACTGCTTCCCTGCACCCTCCCGCCACTTCGGGTTGGGCTGAGCCAGTGGGCTCCATGCTGGTGCCTGCGCTCCCAGCTGCTATGCTGCTCGCAGTGCTCTGCCGGGCCAGGGCCAGAACCACCACTGAGCGCTCCCTGTTCTAGTGCACCATGATAGGCCAGTCCTGGCCCAGGGTCACTGAGATGGCCGCAGAGGAAGCTCAGCAACATAGTCACAGGCACCGTGTTAGACTGGACAGCGACCTGCACTGCCGCCTGGGCAGGGCACCTTGGTGTGCTGGTTGGCACTGGGTATTTAGAGAAAGGGCACGGAGTTTTGGAAGTAACAGGCTGGGTCCTACGTGGGTACCTGCAAAGGTGAAGGCTACGGCTCTGGGACCTCAGGGGTCACCCAGGCAATGAGGCTGAGGAGCAGACCAGGCAACCCCCGTGTCACAGTGCTCAGAGCAGCTCGCTCCTGCAGCCTATGCCCCATCTTCAGAACATCCCTGAGGTGGGCAGGTGGGTACAGCCCCCTGACAGGAGGCAAATCCAGGCGTCTTGTAGCTAAGTGATGACTCAAGGTTACGGGGCAGGGGTGGGCTAGAGTCTAGTTCGGATACCCCTCACTGCCCTGTTCCCCAGGACCACACAGTGTGAGAGCGCCAGCTCCATGTGGGGGCTCAGGTGTGGCAGGTACTTGGGCACTGGTGCCCAGAACTTGCCCCTACAAGGTGGAGCTGCTGAGCCCACTTCCAACTGGCGGAGGGTCATAGCGCAGGTGGGGCCCTGGGGCACAGAACAGAGACTCCCAAGTGGTTGGAGCCACAGGCTGAGCAGGCTCGGGTAGAAGGAAGGGTGGAGCGTGGGGAAGGCCAGGGCCTGGCTCTGCTGCTGCCGTGTAACCCCAAGGCCTGGCATTTGCCTGTAGTCAGACTGCGGGGAAGAGGAGCCGTTCATCTTCCAGCGCAGTCAAACCCTCCTGATTCCGGACCTGTCAGAGGAGCTCGCTGAAGACCCTGCCAGCGGCAACGACTTGGGGACCTGGGTCACTGAGGCTGAAGGGATTCCTCCTGAGGTTCGTGAGACAGAGGCCTTGGGGACCCACTAAGTCTGGCACCCTGCAGGCAGAAGGGTAAATGCGTGTGTTTGTGTGTGTGTTTGTACACGTGTCCATGGCTCAGCAGACTCTAAGCCGCAGTGTGGCCTACACGGTTAAACCCCGGGTCTAGCATCTTTGCAACACCCAGTCCTCCTGTCCCCAGGTCCAGCCCTGGTGTCCAGGTATCCACTCTCACCACTCTGCACCTCCCTTTCCCAGGGAGCCCAGCACACTTAGGGTGAGAGGTGAGGGCCTGGTCTTCCTGTCTGATTTTGCCCTGCTCTTCCTCCTGACCACTCTTGTGCTATTTTCTGCCAAAGCACTTTGAACTACCAGCCCTTGTCACAACTGCTTGTCTGTCATAAATGGGTCCCCCTAACCCAGCTGTCTGTGTGGCTACCTAGCTCTTCACGACACCCAGGCACTGAGCCTGTGATTCATGACCAGGAACTGCCTGAGCCTTGGTTGAGTGGAAGGCTGCAGAGGGGAGTCCGAGGGAAGAAGGGGCTCCTGAACGTCTGAGCAAACGCACAAGCTGGCGCCCTGCAGGAGGGCTCATGAGCACACGGTGCCCCACTCAGTAGGTCCTTAGCTGCAGTCACTGCCCGCTGTCAGTGATCCAGGGCTCCAGCCAAGACCAGACACCATCTGGTCAGTGGCTCGTGTTTAGGATGAATGCTGCTTTATGAGCAGACCCACCCCATCGCCGGGCAGGCCCCATAGGGTAAACCTGTCCACCTGTCTCCCGTTGTGGCTCAGTGTCCTGTTCCCAGTGAAAACACTGAAGAGGCCTCGCAGGGCAGGGTACAGACTCCAGAAGGCACCTGGCTCAAGTCCCCTCCCTCAGCGCAGTTCTGTGTACCAACAGTGACAAGAACAGGTGCAGGAGTGCTGAGACTGGACTGTCTCACAGACCAGGACAAGCCCCTTACCCACCGCTGCGACACACCCAGCAAATCGCCCACCAGTCCAACCAGGCCTAGAAGAAAGCCTGAAATAGCCCCGAATGGGAGAAAGTTCCAAGGCTGCCAACATCCATGGCTTGTTGGGATTACAACTTCCATGTGACTTTGTATTTTCTTCATTTCTTTTTTTTTTTTGGGGGGGGGAGAGGTTTTTGTTACAGGGCGTGTGCACTCGCCAGGAAGACAGAGACAGAGAGACAGAAAGCGAAAAAGCACCCCTCAGGGGGGATGGCCATGCCACAATCACTTCTCCTCCATTCTCTCAGGATCTTGGGCACATATGCACACGCACTGGTGTGAGTTTAAGCCACTGGGTCTGAGACTTGAACCACAGTCGACTATGTGGGGGTCTAGCGACATAGCCATTACGCTCGCTAACTGCTGGTCCCCATTTCTACCACTACTTTGGCAACTCTTCTGCGTGATTTCCTTTTCATCCTGATAATCTGGAATGGGGACTTCTGCTGAAGGCAATGGGCCTGCTTTGGAGTTACGGAGTCCTAGTTTCATCTTGTCCGCTCCTCATAGCTGCGTGGCCGTAGACAGCACGCTCAACATCTGCGCCTCAGTTGCCTCGTCTGAAAGGTGGCCACGGTTAGAGGGACTGTGAACTGGTCAGGTCGTTCATGCCGTCCAGGAACAAGGGAAGTGCTGACCAGCAACTGCGGCTGTTCCCGACCGTGTACACACGGCGCTCTTGCCGTAACAATACCTTCCCTGCCGCTCGTGTTGAATTAGGCCGTGCCACACCATGACGGGGGCTCTCCAGGACGGTCTCACGTTCATGGATATGGTCTGCAGGTTCTCCATCAGGCGCAGCTGAGCGCCGAGCACGTCCCTGAAGCTGATTGTGCCTGCCGGTTCCCGCTGAGCTGCTCCATAATTGTTTCAGACTGGTGACCGGGGTGGAGTGGTGGTAAGGGTGCTGGACTCCCACATGGCCGACCATGGTTCAAGTCCCAGGCCTGTCAACTTGCTTTCTCACTCTCCCTCTCTCACTCTGTCCCTCTATGTTTAAAATAAAAATAAGTAAAGTTAGGTAAAATAATTCTTTTTAAAAAAATTCTTTCAGACTGAACTTTAGAGCTAGACATAGCCTGTTCTACAGCACAGAAACTCAAGTGCCTGGCCGGCTCTGTAGCCTGATGGTTTGAGTCCCGGGTCCTGCAGCTTGAAAAATATGCCAGACGTGTGTGTGCGTGCTCAAAATCTCCGGAGGAAGGAGAATGGAGGAGAAGGGGTTGCAGCATGACCATTCCCCATGGGGGTTGCTTTTTCCTCTCTCTCTCTGGCAAGCACGTGCACCCTCTAGCACAAAAGAAAAAAAGAAAGAAAGAAAAGAAATAAATTCAAGAGGAAGGACAACTCTTCAACCACTCCCTTTCCTGAAAATTGTGAAGTGCTAGGAGAAACCCCATGAAATTCCCTAAAGTAAAAGAAAAAAATTAATTTGAGCCAGCAGGTGGCGTGGAGGTTAAGGCACTGGATCTCACATGGCCATCTGTGGAGTTCTGGGCTCAGTGGCTTGAAAAACACACCAGGTGCATGTGTGTGCATGACCCAAATCCCAGAATGGAGGAGGAACTGTGGCATGATTTTTCACTTTCCCTCTCTAACTCTCTCTGTCTCTCTGCCCTTCTCTGGTAGGTACATGCACCCTATGGCAAAACTATAAAAATTTAAATAAATTCAATTTTGGGAGTCAGCAGGTAACATGATAGTTAAGGTGTTGGAGTCCCTCGTAGCTGACTCTGGTTCTAGTCCTGGATCTGGTGTCTTGAAGATCACGCTGGGCACATGGACGTGTGTGCCCCAAAATCTCAAGAGGACAATGGAGAAATTGTGGCATGGCTATCTCCCCTGGGGGGTGATTTCTCACTTTCTGTCTCTCTGTCTCTCTCCAGTGAGTGCACATGCCCTATAGCAAAAATTTTAAAAAATTGAAGCTTGAATGCTAGTGTTCACCACAGCCACAGATGTCCACAATGGCCCCAAGGTGGAGACAGCAGGGGACCCTCGACAGATGGACAGACAAAATGGCTGCGTGCATGGCGGTCTGTCCACGCAGCCATAGAGAGACATGAAGCACTGGCACACGCTACCACATGGCCCAGCCCTAAAACACCACGCTCATTGAAAGAAGCCAGACACAGGACAGATCCCGTGCGACTCCACCCCCACGACATACCTCGACTCTGCAGATCCACGGCGGCCAGCAGGGTGGAGGCTGCCAGGGGGGGGCTGGGGATGGGGGGAGGGCCGAGGGGACACGGTCCTGATCCACGGCGGCCAGCAGGGTGGAGGCTGCCAGGGTGGGGCTGGGGATGGGGTGAGTGCCGAGGGGACAAGTTCCTGTCTGCTGTGGACCGAGGGAGAGGTAACTCCTGTGACTGACCGTGACCCGCCACTGCCACTTAAACGTTACAATGGGAGATTTCACGTACGCGCACCCCCAGTGTGTCTGTCTCGGGGGGCTAACAGGATGCTTATTTTCTCAGCAGGATCTGGTGCCTGTGGGAGTGGTCTCCGAGCCTGGGGGCAGACGGACAGCAAGGACAGAGGATTCGGCCTCTCGGGGAGAAAGGGACCCTTCCCAGCTTGAGGGCTGTGGTGAGGTGGGCTCTTTTCTTAGGGTATCTGACGAGATCCCCAGGTGCATGGTCCCAGCAGGTGACCCCGAGAGTGTGTCCTTCAACACCAAAAGACCCCAGGCTTCTCCCTGGGGACTGCAGGGAGAAGCCACCCTCCCCTACCAGGAGGAAGACCTAAAGACAAAGCCCCTGGGGGCCACTTCTCGAGACCCTGAACGCCTCAGAGCCCTCCGGCGTGAGAGGAGGAGAATGATTGAGAAGGACATCCTCCAGAAGGTGACCTGGGAGGCCAGGGAACCAGCCTGTGGTGACCAAGCTGTGGAATCGGACCCCAGGCCAGAAGCGCCTCCCAAGGAGCCTCGGGATGCAGGACCAGTGCTGTCACTCCAGGTAGGCAGCTCCCATGCCCTGCCCCTCCCTGGTCCTGCCGCCTGCCATGTGGCCAGGGCCCCGTCCTTTTCATCCTGATAATCTGGAATGGGGACTTCTGCTGAAGGCAATGGGCCTGCTTTGGAGTTACGGAGTCCTAGTTTCATCTTGTCCGCTCCTCATAGCTGCGTGGCCGTAGACAGCACGCTCAACATCTGCGCCTCAGTTGCCTCGTCTGAAAGGTGGCCACGGTTAGAGGGACTGTGAACTGGTCAGGTCGTTCATGCCGTCCAGGAACAAGGGAAGTGCTGACCAGCAACTGCGGCTGTTCCCGACCGTGTACACACGGCGCTCTTGCCGTAACAATACCTTCCCTGCCGCTCGTGTTGAATTAGGCCGTGCCACACCATGACGGGGGCTCTCCAGGACGGTCTCACGTTCATGGATATGGTCTGCAGGTTCTCCATCAGGCGCAGCTGAGCGCCGAGCACGTCCCTGAAGCTGATTGTGCCTGCCGGTTCCCGCTGAGCTGCTCCATAATTGTTTCAGACTGGTGACCGGGGTGGAGTGGTGGTAAGGGTGCTGGACTCCCACATGGCCGACCATGGTTCAAGTCCCAGGCCTGTCAACTTGCTTTCTCACTCTCCCTCTCTCACTCTGTCCCTCTATGTTTAAAATAAAAATAAGTAAAGTTAGGTAAAATAATTCTTTTTAAAAAAATTCTTTCAGACTGAACTTTAGAGCTAGACATAGCCTGTTCTACAGCACAGAAACTCAAGTGCCTGGCCGGCTCTGTAGCCTGATGGTTTGAGTCCCGGGTCCTGCAGCTTGAAAAATATGCCAGACGTGTGTGTGCGTGCTCAAAATCTCCGGAGGAAGGAGAATGGAGGAGAAGGGGTTGCAGCATGACCATTCCCCATGGGGGTTGCTTTTTCCTCTCTCTCTCTGGCAAGCACGTGCACCCTCTAGCACAAAAGAAAAAAAGAAAGAAAGAAAAGAAATAAATTCAAGAGGAAGGACAACTCTTCAACCACTCCCTTTCCTGAAAATTGTGAAGTGCTAGGAGAAACCCCATGAAATTCCCTAAAGTAAAAGAAAAAAATTAATTTGAGCCAGCAGGTGGCGTGGAGGTTAAGGCACTGGATCTCACATGGCCATCTGTGGAGTTCTGGGCTCAGTGGCTTGAAAAACACACCAGGTGCATGTGTGTGCATGACCCAAATCCCAGAATGGAGGAGGAACTGTGGCATGATTTTTCACTTTCCCTCTCTAACTCTCTCTGTCTCTCTGCCCTTCTCTGGTAGGTACATGCACCCTATGGCAAAACTATAAAAATTTAAATAAATTCAATTTTGGGAGTCAGCAGGTAACATGATAGTTAAGGTGTTGGAGTCCCTCGTAGCTGACTCTGGTTCTAGTCCTGGATCTGGTGTCTTGAAGATCACGCTGGGCACATGGACGTGTGTGCCCCAAAATCTCAAGAGGACAATGGAGAAATTGTGGCATGGCTATCTCCCCTGGGGGGTGATTTCTCACTTTCTGTCTCTCTGTCTCTCTCCAGTGAGTGCACATGCCCTATAGCAAAAATTTTTAAAAATTGAAGCTTGAATGCTAGTGTTCACCACAGCCACAGATGTCCACAATGGCCCCAAGGTGGAGACAGCAGGGGACCCTCGACAGATGGACAGACAAAATGGCTGCGTGCATGGCGGTCTGTCCACGCAGCCATAGAGAGACATGAAGCACTGGCACACGCTACCACATGGCCCAGCCCTAAAACACCACGCTCAGTGAAAGAAGCCAGACACAGGACAGATCCCGTGCGACTCCACCCCCACGACATACCTCGACTCTGCAGATCCACGGCGGCCAGCAGGGTGGAGGCTGCCAGGGTGGGGCTGGGGATGGGGTGAGTGCCGAGGGGACAAGTTCCTGTCTGCTGTGGACCGAGGGAGAGGTAACTCCTGTGACTGACCGTGACCCGCCACTGCCACTTAAACGTTACAATGGGAGATTTCACGTACGCGCACCCCCAGTGTGTCTGTCTCGGGGGGCTAACAGGATGCTTATTTTCTTAGCAGGATCTGGTGCCTGTGGGAGTGGTCTCCGAGCCTGGGGGCAGACGGACAGCAAGGACAGAGGATTCGGCCTCTCGGGGAGAAAGGGACCCTTCCCAGCTTGAGGGCTGTGGTGAGGTGGGCTCTTTTCTTAGGGTATCTGACGAGATCCCCAGGTGCATGGTCCCAGCAGGTGACCCCGAGAGTGTGTCCTTCAACACCAAAAGACCCCAGGCTTCTCCCTGGGGACTGCAGGGAGAAGCCACCCTCCCCTACCAGGAGGAAGACCTAAAGACAAAGCCCCTGGGGGCCACTTCTCGAGACCCTGAACGCCTCAGAGCCCTCCGGCGTGAGAGGAGGAGAATGATTGAGAAGGACATCCTCCAGAAGGTGACCTGGGAGGCCAGGGAACCAGCCTGTGGTGACCAAGCTGTGGAATCGGACCCCAGGCCAGAAGCGCCTCCCAAGGAGCCTCGGGATGCAGGACCAGTGCTGTCACTCCAGGTAGGCAGCTCCCATGCCCTGCCCCTCCCTGGTCCTGCCGCCTGCCATGTGGCCAGTGCCCAGCTCCCTGGGCTCCAGCTACCCCTCCACAGGCCAATGTCAGGGCTGGGCCCACTGGAACCTTAGGCTCATGGTCCCAGGTCCCTGTGCCATGCTGCCGTGCCAGTCTCGGTGGGGCAGGGGTCTCAGACCAGGCTCGTCCCTGGCAAACATTAACAAAGGGGCAGCGGAGCAGGCCCACTCCTACCTCCTGCGAAGAGGGACAGAGGCACTGCCCCCAAGCACACGTTTATAAACATGTCCAGCCGCACATCAGCCTTAGAACGAGGTCTGAGCATGCTCGTCCAGCAAGCCACGTTGGTTCACACCGGATGAGAACAGCTGCCCGGTAAGCACAGAGCCCAGGCTCCTGGAATCCATTTCATGCAGATGGGCTCCCTAAGGGGTTTTCTTTCACAGGAGGATGGCTACCGTTTGCTTTCCCCCAAGAACTCACTACATTGCTTTGCTAGGGCAGCCGGTTCCTGATCTGCTCGGGGACGCCTCACATGTCATCCACCCAGGACCGTAGCCACAGGCAGGAGGGGTTACAGTGGATAGTGAAGGCAGGTGGCACAGTAACCAGGGCAGCCGGTCAGGGCACCCGGGGTTTGGCTAAGGTGTGTCCTTGAGGGACCAGCTCATGGCATAATGGTTACATCACTGGTCTCCCACTTGGCCGACCGCTGTTTGAGTCTTGGATCCAGTGGGCTAAAACTCAGGGCAGGCACGTGTGCATGCTTGCCTAAACCCCGGGAGGGAGAAGAATGGAGAGGGGATTGCCACGTGGCCATCACCCTTGGGAAATGATTTCTCACTTTCTGTCTTTCTGTCTCTCTCTGATAAGTGCACGCACTATATAGCAAAAATCTCTCTTTTAAAAGAAAAAGAGCTGCGTTCTTTAGCGGTTCCTTCGGGCACGGGTGTGGGTACCTAACTGAGACTCACTACATGCAGCTCCCCGAGGCCAGTTTCGGCAGGCCTCCTCTGCCCTGAGCCGGCTTTGCACACATTTCTTCCTCACACTGACCAGTACAGGACCAGCTGCAGCCCCGTGTGGTCCTCCACGTCACGGCCCTCGTTCTCATGTACCCAGCGAGCCCTGATGGAGCTGCACGCCACGGCGCCCCACGCGGGAGGGCAGAGCCTCAGGGTTAAGTGGGATTCTGAAAGATGCTGGAGGAAGGCCGGGTGCAGACGAGCCTTGTGCTCTGTCTGTGGGGCAGCCAGTGGTCCCCGAGGGGCGCCTCGTCCTCTGGGCAGGAGGAGACACAGTGCTCCTTCCAGGCCACAGAGTGTGGGACAGCTGGGCCCCATCAGTGCAGGGGCACCTCCCCAGAAGGTGACTTGGTGACAGTGCGGCAGTGAGTGCCCAGGCAGTTCCCTCTCTGCCTTTTTTTCTTTAAAAAAAAAAAAAATTCTGGATAATTTTCTTTTTTTCTTTTTCTTTTTATTTATTTATTTTTTTATTAATTCACTTTACACCATCACAACACACAAATGAATTTTCCATCCAAAATACACTGTGCATTGGCTCAATCAAGCACATCAG